GGACCTTCTGAATACCACAGACATCCAGGCGATACCAGTCCAGCTACCGACAGAGGAGTGGCAGCCTCTCCTCTGCAGTGAGCGTTGGAACATTCCACGTGGCCACCCATAGCGGCTTTTGTGCTGTTTCTGGAGGAAACTCAACACCACCACCACCACCCCTCAACGCCACCACCACTCAACACCACCACCCCACAACACCAGCACCACTTAACACTACCACTTAACACCACCACCACTCAGCACCACCACTACCACCCCTCAACACCACCATCACCACCACCACCCCTCAACACCACCATCCCTTCCTCCCTTGCATCGCGGTGGCGAGGCGACAGAGTGGGCTGGGAGTCCCTGTACCCAGTGCGCATTCGTAGAAGTAAAAATGTAAACGAGATAAAATCCTGGTCGGGGGAGGGGTTCGCTCAGCCCATCATCCTTCCTTCAAGGGGTCGGTAAAACGGGTACCACGTCGTGAGGAAGTCAACGGTGGTGGCCCTCTGGATATACTCAGCCCCGCCACAGGAATGTGGCATTTTCACCACTGGCTCTGCAGAGCTGTAAACGGGAGGTGAGCACCACTACTGCCTCGATGCTCATTTTAAGGAGCGACCTCGCCCTGACTGCCCTGGTAGTTGCTATGAAGGCGCTGCGTTGATTGGCATTGTTACGGTGGTGAGTGTTGAACGCCTCTGGGAGAGCCGCGTCGACTGGGCGAGGGGAGGGGCGTGGGCGATGGGCGGTGGGGGGTCGCACTTTGCTTGACAGGACATCCTGCAGCTCGCTGGTGGTGAGGATGGGGACGTTGGTATGAGTGGTGAGAGGATGTGGGTAGTTAAGGTGCTGAGTGGTGACGATTATGAGGATGGTGTATCTGGTGAGGGTGGTGTGGGTGGTCAGTGATGATAATGGTACGAATGGTGACAGTGGTGAGGGTGGTGTGATGGGTGAGGGTGGTGTGATGGGTGAGGATGGTGAAGATGATGAGAGTAGTGAGTGAAGAGGATGGTTTGACTGGTGAGTGGTGAGGATGGTGAGAGATGGTGAGGTTGGTGTGATGGGTGATGATGGTGAGAGTGGCCATTCGGTTAAGATCCGCGGAGACCTCGCGCACAGGGTGAGTCCTCACATCCAAGTCACGGACTTTCTCTCGCCTTCCATCCGCGAACACATCCCCGGAGGAACCTTACCGGCCCTCTAAGTGTGTGGGCGCCATGGTGGCGAGATGTTAACTACCTTGCCTGGTATACAGGAGGTCGTGGGTTTGATCCCGACCCTGATGCCAGCTGCTGGATATCTGGAGTTTGCGGTGTCTCTTTCTTTCCGTGGTCTCGTGGATTTTTCTCCGGGTCCTCCGGTTTCCCCCCTCCACATTTAAAATCAACATCACACGTTCAAAACATTTGGCTGTATAACTCTATGGGTCTCTGTGTAACTATATGGTTTGGCTACGTAAGTCTTTTGGTATCTGTGTAACTCTGTGAGTTTCGATGTAACTGCATGAGTTTCTATATAACTCTCTGGGTGTCTATGAATCAATATGCAACTTTGGATCTCTATGTAACTCTATTGGTCTATGTGACCCTATGGGTCTCGATAAATCACTATGTAACTATGGTATCTATTTATGTTCATGTAACTCTATTATTATCTATGTAACTCGATGGGTCTCTGTGAATCACTATGTAACTATTTATATCAATGTAACGCTATGTGTCACCGTGTAACTCTATGGGTCTCTATGCATGACTATGTAACTATGGATCTCTGTGTAACCCTATGGGTCTCTATGTGGCCCATTGGATCTGTATGAACCACTATGTGACTATGACATCTATGCATCATTATGTAACTCTATCGATATATCAGTCAAAAATTGTCGGTTTGTGGCTTTGTGTGTGTTCGCATGCTTGTGAAGGGTTTGTCTCTCCAACGGTGGGGTTTAAGTAAAAAATAAAAATAGCCAGATACCACGCCGTAAGCCCCGCCGTGAGCAAGCGATATTCCTTTCTCACATCCATCAACTTTAAATAAGTTAAATGAGCGATTTAGTGAGATTTTTTTAGCGCTTTCTTTTTATGTATTTACTTATGACGCATGCCAACTCACGCGCCTTTGGTGGGGGGGATGGCCCTTGCCCAGTTGCACACCTTCAGTGGGAGTGAGGGGGACATTTTCTTTCGCGTTAAAAATGCTTTAAAAATACACTAAATGCTGAGCTTAAATCTTCATGTGTGATGTCCCCCCCACCCCGATGCGTGCAGTTACTCATATATACAGTCGCTAGATGCTACCACTATAGGCCGTAGATATTACTGCAGAGCAGCCGGGGAGAACGTGACTGGGGAGGGGGTCAGGGGTAGCAGCCCAGCCCCAGCCTGCCAAGGTGCCACCTCGGCCGGCTGGACAATCTAGGCGAGGCCGGAGGCTCTGCACAGGACTGGGCCTCACCACGCCACTCTGTCAGATGAGTACTTTGTGCTATAGAGTCAGCATGTACTACTGTAGTGATAGCAGGTACCACCACAGTCGGTATGCACTGTTGTAATCATAGCAGGTACAACCACAGTCAGTACGCACTGCTGTTAGATCTTTAAGAGTAGTTTTGAAATATTTTTTTGACCTTGGCAACGCTGGGTACTTCCCGCTAGTTGGATATATAGGTAACTCTTTGAGTCTATATATAACTCTATGGGTCTCTATGGAATTATCTTGGTCTATGTGTAACTCAATGCGTCTCTATTAATCACTATTTAACTATGTATTTCTATGAAACTCTACGTAACAATATAGTTCTCGTTATAACGATGGTTCTCTGTGTAACTCTCTGTGGGTATCTATGTTACTCTATGGGTCTTTGTGTAAGTCTATGGGTCTCTATGAAACACAATGGAATGATGGATCTCCATTTAACTCTATGTAACGATATTGTTATCTATGCAATTATATGGGTATATATTTAACTTTATCAGTCTGTGTAACTCTATGGGTCTCTATGAAATCTATGGATCTCTGTGTAACTCTATGAATCACTACGTAACTATCGATGTAAATGGAACTCTATGGGTCTATATGTAACTCTATTGGTCTCTGAATCACTATGTAACTATGGATATCTGTGTAACTCTATGGGTCTCTGTGTTACTCTATGTTTCCCCGTGTAACTCATTGGGTCTCTATGAATCACTATTTAACAATGGATCTCAATGTAACTCTCTGGGTCTCTATATAACTCTATGGGTCTCTATGCAACTCTATGGGTCTCTATATAACTCTATGGGTCTCTATGCAACTCTATGGGTCTCTATGGGTCTCTATAGAACTCTATGGGTCTCTATGCAACTCTATGGGTCTCTGTGTGAAACTCGACAGAGCTGCCATGCGGGACGGGACAGCCCTCGCGCGTGCGGCGGGAGGAGTGACGTCGCCCCCTCGTGGCGCTGACCGGAACCACGCGCAGGATGAGAGAACGGGGACGCGGGGATGATACTTGGTGAGGAGGGTGAGGGTATGGGGTGAGGGGAAGCAGGGTACGGGGTCAAGAGGGTCCGGGGTGAGGACGGGGAGGGTACGGGGTGAGGGCAGAAGGTGCCGTGGCTGCTGCTGCGTGTGGGTGAGCTGGTGAGGATTTGGTGAGGCACGCTGGATGGAGCGGTGGTTCGCGCTACGCTGCGCTACGAACCCGGTGACTCGAGTTAAATTCACGCTCACGGCCACCAAACACCGGTGACGATTGTGTGAACCGGTCCTGGCCCTCCCCTAGGTATACTCAGCCTCAAATGAGTACCTGGTGCGGTGTGCCAACATCGCCACTCGAGAGACAAATGCGGCCGGACGTGCCGGCCTTCATAGGTGCTCGCCAACAGCACTTTCCCCAACAGTCTGTTAAGGTTATCCTGGTACCTCACCACTACTTTCACCAGCTCACCACCAACCACCACAACCTCACCACCAGTCACACCGCCTCACCACGACCCGCAGCACCTCACCACCATCTCACCATCCACCACCACCCCACCACCACGCACCAAACCATGACCTTACCACGACCTCCACTGAATTTCCCACCACCACCTCACCACCACTCACCACACCTTACCACGACCTCCACTGAATTTCCCACCACCACCTCGTCTCCCACCGAAGCTCGTGACCTTGAGGAGGCGGCGCTCCCCCGATGCGTGGACGTCGAGGGATGAGCTTTACCATGGCTCGCCAGGGGAAGGCGGCCCAGCAAAGTGTGCACTAATCGCCATCTGTTTCCATTTGTACGGAGACAGAGTGTTACCCCCTCGTGTAAGCTTTCCTCTCCGCAACAATTACAGAGGTGCTCGCGAACAGCACTGTGCTCGTGTTGCTAGCGAGCACCTCTGTAAATGTTGTGGGTTTACTTTCCAACACATAGATGTGCTGTACTAATAACGAATTGGCATGTTTTGTTTACGCGACAAACCTTACTGATTGTCTGTGTCGGATGGTGGCGGGTTTATTGACGCATTTATATTTATGCGATCTGACCCGAAACAACATCTATCGTGGATAATGTTTCGCAAAGCCCTACAACCATTACTACAACTACGTGTTAAGCTTTCCTTTTCACGTGTATAAACACATTCCTGCGGAGGAAGCTGGTAGGAACGTTGGGTTGCTCGGTCAATGGCCAGGGTCTACGGCGGCGTGGTGTATTCCGCAAATATGCCCGACTGTGAGGGCGGGCACAAGCCGGCGTGAGTAGGTTAAACGTTGAGTTTTATAGGGACACCACGGGTGACCAGCCCCTCCCCACCCAGCCCCACCCCTCCCACCCCCCACCCAGCCCCACCCTCCCCACTCAGCCCCTCCCCACCCAGCCCCTCCCTCCCCATCCAGCCCCTCCCTGCACGACGGACGGACGGACACAATTACCCCCTGTGGGCTGGTGTAACCAGGAGGTTCCTACCAGTACAATAACAACAATGAACACAACTCGTTATACGTCGTCTGACAAGCGGTCCCGCGACTCTCAGCATGGCCCTCAAGAGCCACAGTCCGGGTCCGTCTCCGACAACCGAAGGGCTCCCTGGGCGAGACGCCCTTGGGCAGGCCGCCTCGTTGTCTGCCAGCGAGCTGTCGTCTCGAGCGGCACTGCCTTCATCGCCGCGTCTGGCATCCCGCAGCCGACGTTAAAGACCGCGTGACGGCATTCGCAAAGAGCGAACCACTAGTGTGTGTGTGGCCTGCCTGGGTTTGCGGGTTGTCCGAGCTTGACGGCCGCACCTAAAACTATTTTGGATTTTACCGGGTGAGGCCCACCACTGGGCTGCCACGTCGCTCGATTCGCAAGCGACCTGGCTATCACAAATGATAGCTCAGCGAAGTGGCTTATCGTCATCGTGTGGAAAATTTGCCGAGGCAGACAAATACTCTGTGCGTACGTTGAGAGTATTTGAAAAACCAGAGGACCCAGAGGAAAAATCCACGCGACCGCGGGGAGAGACACGCAAACTCCAAATATATAGCAGGCGTCAGGGTATGGATAGAACCCAACGACCTCATGTGTACCAGGTGAGGTAGTTAACATATCCTAGCCACACGCAAACTCCAAATATACAGCAGGGGTTAGGGTTGCGATGGAACCCACGACCTCCTGTGTACCAGGCGAGGTAGTTAACATCTCCTAGCCACCCGTAGCGCACACGGTTGCCATATAAATCACTCTGCCTGGAGATGCCGCTGCTGCGTTGGCAGTGGTGCACAAGCACAGCACTGTGGCTTTAAAATAAAATATATGACAGATGACGTTTCGGGCAATGGCCCTTCCTCATATCACAGGCATGAAGAAGCACCATCGCCCGAAACGTCGTCTATTATATAAATATTTCCTTTGTAGGGCAGCTGCAATTGTCAACACACAACAGCGCATTTTAAAAACTAGATTGAAAACTAATTTCTTTGTAACTTCTTTTAGTTTGTTGTCTCTCCCCACACCTTCGATTGGCGCAGTTGGCTACGTACGGTGCGGAAGAAGTTCAAAATACATACATAGACTATCACAGAGACCCATAGACTCATAGAGAGACCCATTGCTTGTTGTCCTTCCCCCACACCTCCAATGAGCGTGGTTGGCTACGTTCAGGGTGTGGGGGGTTCAACAAACGTACAGAAATCATCACCCCCTACTGATGAGACAACTTGGCACGACCCTACTGAGCAAAATTGCCCCACCATAGAATTCACTCCTTCCCATCATAACCAATTTCCATCATCATCGTCATCATCTTTTTCCCCCAAGCTCACGATAATAACCTCGCTCAATTCAACAGACCTGCTTCTCTCTTACCGATTACAACTTTGATAATATGGCAGTACTATTTATTGCTGGCCGTTCATCATTTTGGGTTTTTGAGAGGAGCCATAATGGCCCCGTCAAGTTCACAGCCGGGACCCGTGAACTTCACATCCGGGTCCCGTGAACTTCACATCCGGGTCCTGTGAAGTTCACATCCGGGTCCCGTGAACTTGACATCCGGGCCCTGTGAAGCTCACAGCCCTTGCCGTCTCTACTGTAAACCCCCTGGGGGTTTTTCCGGCGTTTCCGGATCAGTAAGATGTGCATCCCATTAGGCTGGGGCTATATTCTCGGGTCCAGTGGAGGCGAGCTATTCACTACCTCACCTGGTTTACAGGAGGGCGTGGGTTCAATCCCAACCCTGACGCCTGCTGCTATATATTTGGAGTTTGCATGTCTCCCTCCCCGTGGTCGCGTGGATTCTTCTCCGGGTCCTCCGGGTTTCCCCTCCACATTTAGAAAAAACGTGCGTTTAGAGTATTTGGTGGCTATAAATTTCCACATGATGAGCCGCTTCCCTGAGCTGTCATTTGTGGCCAGGTCGCTTCTGAAGAAGAGCTATAGAGCTCACTTCATAATTAAACATTGGTGATTTTTTCCTCTCTATTGCCCACTCACTTCCCACCCCTCGCCTCAATCCCTTTCCCCTTCCCTATAGTAATCCCCAAGTACCCCTCTATCATGGTCATTCCTCAATACCTTGCACGCCCCTGCCATCTCAACAATTCCATTCTGTCACCGGGTTTTTTTATTATGTCAAGCGGCCTTGAACGAAGGCGCTCTATAAATATCAAATTATATTGGATCAGAATGATGCGCATCCTGGGTTGCGTTCAATGGGCAGATCTCAGCTGTTCATGAACGGTGTGCGAGAGCTCTGAGAGTTCAGGGCCCCTTGATCACATATGCTACAGGCCCCACACGAGTTTAATACAGGTAGGAACAACAGTTCCTCCCTGCCCACCAGGGATTATTTCTGTCGTGCATAGCCCCTCCCAAACATGTACGCTCCCGGATTGGATGAAGTGTGTCACGTGACCGCGAGCTTTCTGTCGTGCACGAATGCGCTGTCCAACCAAGTTGCTACCTGCCCACTCCGAAGGAACGTGTTTCGGCACTATCCAGTCAACACAACCGCGATTGGTGTGTAAGGAAGCCTGATGGCGATGGTCTGTACCATTGTCGGCCTTAATAGAGTTTCGCCCACAGCACTTCTCGCGCCAATAGATTATTTTGTATTTCACCAGGTAAGGCTACCACTGAGCTATCACAAATTACCTGGCTATCACAAATTATAGCTTATCACGTGGAAATGTGTCGTAAGCAGCCAAATGCGCTAAACGCGTGAAGTTGATTCTAAATATGGGGGGAAAAACCGGAGGACCCAGAGAAAAATCTACGCTACCGCGGGGAGCGAGAAAGACACCGCAAACTCCAAATATACAGCAGCAGGCGTCAAGTTCGTGATCGAACCCACAACCTTCTGCATACCAGGCGAGGGAGTTAACATCTCATGGCCACCGCGGTGACTCCGCGTTTTTTTTCGTGTTCCAGCTTTGTCTGACGTTTCGCTCCACGTGCCTGGGAGCTTCGAGGATATCGCGGCCTGTCCGCGTCGCATGTGGGGCTACGGTGACGTCACAATGCTCTAATTGCCGCTCCGACTCAACGAGGGGGGGGGGGGTGAAACGGAGACACACAGAGAGCAACACTGTCCCCCTGTATTCCAGGGGTCCGTCAAACACTACGCAGCCCAACCCTGACATCCTCAGTCACTCAACGGAGGGTTATCAACAACTTCCCCTATCACCACCACCACCACCATCGACAACATCATCATCCACCTCCTACCATCACAATCCTTCTCCTGCCCAACCGTCACCCTGCTGCTGCTGCCATCGCTGCTCATGTGGGATCCTCCACCATGCCCAGGGGATGCAAAGCCTCGTCCCCAAGCAGCCACCTGCCCAGCGTGTAGAGCGCCGCCGGGTACCAGTGCAGACCGCCACAGCCGTCACCGCCGCCACAGCCATCACCGCTACCACCGCCGCCGCTGCTGTTCGCGGGCAGCGCCGCCGCGTCCGGCACCGTCAGCGGCAGGAGAAGGCCGTGCAGCGCGAGCACGGCGCGCATCGGCGCCAGGGCCCAGTGGGCCAGCTCGTGGCGCTCCGTGGCGGCGTAGCACGAGGCGAGGACCCCCTCCACCACGATGGTGCCGTGCGCCGTGGCGGGCGCGTACAGAGCCGCGGGCATTGCCGCCTCCCGCACGCGCTCGACGCGCGCCGCTTGGAGCAGCCGCCTCTTCCGTGGCGACGCTCCACCTCCTCCACCTCCTCCTCCGTCTCCCGCTCGCCCCGCCGCCACCGTGGCCACGTAGACGTAGTGGCCCGCCCGCACGCCGCTGGCGAAGCGCGCCGCGAAGGGCCCTGCGGGCGACTCGGCGGCGAAGAGGAGGTGCGCCGGCGTGAGCAGCAGCGAGCGCCGTGGCCGCAGCGTCTCGACGGCCACGAGGCGCGCGCGCTCCCGCGGCCGCGCATCCAGGAAGGCCACGAAGTCGCTGAAGAAGGGGCCGCGCGCCGGCGACGCGGGGTCCCCGACGAGGACGCGGTCGCCCTGACGCAGGTCGCCCACACGGCGCGTGCGGCCGTCCTCGAGGAGGGCGCGAGCGGCGCCTGGGAAGCAGCCACCGGCGCGCGCAGCCGCTGAGTCGTCTGCGTCACAAAGGCAACGGTGAGTCCCTCACCCTTCGCCCCTCGCCTCCCCCACCTCTCCGCCCACACATAGCCTGAGCAGGCACTGTTAGAGGGGCAACTACCGCTGTATGAAGGTTGGGAACGGCGCGCCAAAGGGTGGGTGAGTGACCAGCACCACCACCATCACACACGCCCCGGCCGACTTTGAAGCAGAAATCTGAATATTTATTTGCACTGGAAGAATCCGATGAGCTATGAAGCTCTTTTTGGCGGATGTCCAGTCGGGGCACAGGGTAAGAGCGTTACAACAGCAAGCAATGCAAAACAACACGATCGGTCTAGTCCGCTCCCGGCTTTGCCACCTGCCCACAATGCCGATGGTTTACTATCCACGCACCGCACAAGGTACTCATTTAATGCGGAGCCGACCTACGGGGCAGCTCCAGGAGCGGTCGAGAAATTCGTCATCGATGTTGGTCGTGAGCGGGAATCGAACTCAGGTCGTAGCAGAATGCGGTCACCTCTACGCTTCCGTGCCACAAAGAAATAGATCTCTGGTATAGCCTTCACAGACTGTTGGGGCAAGTGCTGTGAGCGAGCACCTATCTAGGCTGGCACGGCACAAAAGGGTGGCCAGCACCACACCAGGTACTCGTTTGAGGCTGAGTCGACCTAGATGAGGCCCAGGACCGGTTCAAATAATCGTCCCTCGTGTTGGCCGTGAGCGGGAATAAAACACAAACACAACCACACGCATACATACAGCAAACATTTAGAACGCCGGAACCGCACGTGCTGTGCAAAACACGGGAAATGTTAATTATAGTGGCGGTGGCTACGCTGCTGCACGTGGCTGCCTGTAGTCCAGCACCGTGAAGGCAACAGCGAGGGTTGATGGATCCCGCACAGACGCTGTTGGAAACTCCCAATGTGTGGATTTCGTGGACGCTGCCATACCGGGCCTAGCCAGCAGATGACGGTACAGCATTGTGTGAATACGCTTGCCGAATCAAACCCACACACACACACAGCGCCCAAGTCGGGAACCGGACCGACGAGCTTAGCGCCCCTGGGGCACGAGTGCCACCACTGCGATGCCGATTTAAATTTTATTTTACCAGTAAAGTCCCACTGAGCGAAATCACTTTTTTTCAGAAGCGATCAGGCCACGAATGATAGCGTAAACATTTGGTTCATCATCGAATGGAAATGTACAGCCAAATACTCTAAACGCGTGATGTTGTTTCTAAATGTGGACGGAAGCAACCGGATGACCCGAGTAAATTCCACGCGACCACGAGAGAGAGAGAGAGAGACACGCAAACTCCGAATATTCAGCAGCAGGCGTCAGGGTCGGCATCGAACACACGACCTCCTGCAAACCAGGCGAGGAAGTTAACATCTCATAGCCACCGTGGCGTCATGCCAGTCCAGCGTCGTTCACGCCTGCGGACAATAATTGCCCAAGTTCTGTAAACCCCTTGCGTTAGTTCACAATTATTAGCCACGACTTCGACAGTGCTGTTTGTTTCTGGCCGCCTCATGTGTTTGGACATTCAGGTCCTGTGCTCTTGAGCAACTGTGTTCGAGTTCGCGTCCTTGCTCCACATTTAGAAGCGTGCGGTGAGATGATTTGGATGGTTCTGCTGCTAAAAAACTCAAGTGATGGTACCACTTGGTTGAGCTGCCATTATTTGTCATGGGCAGGTCGCTTCTGGAAAACAAGTAAAGACCTCAGTGGGCTTCTGCTTGGTAGGATGGGGATGGTTTAGTGTTGTACGTGTTTGGGTGATGTGTTTACCTTTGTGTAACACGGAAGCTTTCGCGACCAATATCATCTATAAGAGGTTTTTTGGGGGGGAGGTTGGGTTAGATCACGTAAATATATAAACGTGTCGTTAAAACCCGCTACCACCCGACGCAGCCAACTAATAAGGGTTGTCACGTGAACAGAACGTGCCAATTCGTCACTAGTACAGCACACCGGTGTGTTGGAGAGCCAAGCCACAACATTTACAATCTGAGTACGACGTTTCGCTAGTAATTACAACTATCTTGATCAGGCGACAGCCAGATTTGTGTAGAAGTCCAACTGTTTCATTCCTTATCCAGAGGAGTAGATGTGGTGACCACACTTCTGCACTCTTGAGCTGCACGATCGCTGCTGTCGCCGTCCGGGCTTCAGGTACGGGTTTTCCTCCGTGTCTCCATGGCCACTTCCGACACAAAATGTAGTGGGTTTTACGGAAGGCGGTGACGAATCTTTGGAGGCAACGCATTTATTCAATAACGCTACACGTACGGCACGTAACTTTTCACAAGGACAACGGCCCTTCTGACTACTTCCTGGGGAGGTACGGCCTCCGGGCTTGTGTGCCCTGTCACGGGGCTACGGGCTCTCAGTCCTCCTGCTACGGGTGCCCTAGGGGAGGCTGCACTGACCCTACCCAGCCAAGGTGCGTGTCCCGACCACTGGCCCACTCGGACCCGGCCCTTACAAGGAGGTCGGGGCCGGGGGTTCCCAGGGTCTCACCACTGGCCCACAATCCCGGCCCTTACACGGGCAGCGGGGCTAGGGGTCTCAGGGTTCTAAGCTGGCTGGTCTTCGGCTTTGGTCCTGGACTGGCCCCGGACCCTTCTAGAGGTCCGGCTTTTATACACAGCATCGGTGTGTCAGACCCTGGCCACGCCTCCCTTCCAGAGAGTTCCAGGGGGGTCTCGGGGGATTCTAGGACACCCCGCAGCCCCCTCCTGCTTTGGGTCTGGGGAATGGAGCGACCCACATGCCGGTGCAAGTTACTGCCCCTGATGGGCCGTGTCTGCTACTGCAGGTAAGTGCACGCAGCCCATTTACAGCGCTACAGTAGTAACGTTCTTACCCCGTGCGCCTTACTGGACATCTGTTAAAAAAATATATTCATAGCCCATCGGATTTCTCCTCAAGTATTAATACTGATTCTGAATATCAGTGCCCCTAGCAATGCCCCTAGCACTGCTGTTCACACGAGAGGGTGGGTGGCCAGCACCACGTCCGACCGCATTTTATCTCCCAAGTGGCGATGTTTTACACACGCACCGGGTACTCATTCCTGATTGACTATTGCACGGCTGTGACGTCACCGCCCACATCTGTGTAGTGATGTCACTCGAACCCCCCCCCCCCCGCCATTCACCCTCTACCCCAAGCCATGTAACCCGCATAATCTATACAATGGAAACGATGCGTCAATGTGACATGAAGGTTAATGTAAAGATGAATAAAGCAACAAACATATTTCAAACTGTATTACGATACGAAAAGCTTTGCTGGCTGTTTGGACGTCTGGACTTCCCGGAGTGAGGGACCAACAGTTACGTTCAAAGTCCGTAAAAAAAGCACTACTTACCAATCAACCCGTGTCCACTCTGGCCTCTATATGGGGCTCTGAACGAGGGCCATTGCCCCAGAAACGTCGCCTATTACAAGTATACAGTATATAGTATACAGTATATAGTGTGCAGTGTACACATACGGCAAGTCCACGGTTAACGCGTGATGTTTACATTACAACGCGTTTTCGCTATAACGCGGTGGTTCTGCCATTCGGGAACATTTTTCGCACAACACTGAACGCGCCCCATTATAACGCAGAACGCGTCTCGTTATAATGCGGTTTCTGACGAACGACTTTCTTGAGCTGCGCGGCTGAGCAGTTTGATACAAATACGTCGCATGATACAGTAACGTTCGTACTGTATGTAGCCAACCATGCCAATCAGAAGTGCGGTGGGGGAAGGACAACAAACTAAACACAAACATAATTTGTCTCGCCATCTCACCATGTGTGCAGAGTAGTAGTACATCGGATTTCGCCGAACGTTATCGTTACATTATGGTGAATTTGATATTCGCTTGACGCGGCACTTTTTCAGGAACCAATCTACCGCATTAAACGAGAAGCTGGGCCATATACGATATCAATAGACTCCTCTACTTACGAACATTCGACTTGTGAAATGTTAGAGGTAGTCGTAAGTTCAACCGCCGCGAAATACTGTAGATGGCGGTGGTGGCATCTACATCTGTAGAACATGAAGGCACCAGTGGCATCTACATCTACAGGGGATTATACAACTTTTAAAGCAATTCCCCGTGTTGAGTGTACATGCCGTACAACGTGTTTGGAATTAACAGGAGTAAAGTTGGACTTACGAACAAATCGACTCACCTCTGGGTCCTCACTCGTTCATAAGTAGAGAAGTCCCTACATACGAATACCACTGTGTGACGTCACAGCCCAGGTCACAAACAAAGACAATGACAAAGATCTCCCTTATAGCCTTAACAGACTGTGGGGACAAGTGATGTAAGCAAGCACCTATAAAGGCCGGCACGACACACGAGAGAGTGGGTGACCAACACCACGCCCGGCCGCCTTTGTCTCCCTATTGGCGATGTTTACACACCGCACCAGGTACCCATTTGAGTCTGAGTCAACCTAGGGGAGGCCCAGGACCGGTTCAGATAATCGTCACTGGTGTTGGCCGTGAGCGGGAATCGAACCGCTACACTACCCCTCTCCACGTCACACACACACACGCGTGCGCGAGCGAGCCCTACCGGCCTTGACGGAGCAGTGCACGTGGCCCTTGGACTCGTAGTGGACCCAGTCGAATCCCGCCTCGGCCGCGAGTCGCGCCAGCATGCCGTACTTGGCACGGTCGCGATCCGATGTGGTGATGTCCACGGCGCGCCCCTCGTAGTGCAGCGACTCGTCCGCGTGGTGGCCGTCCTCGTCCCAGCCCTCGGTCACGCGCAGCTTCACGCCGGGCCACTGGTTCATCACCGAGATGGCGAGCGAGTTGAGACAGTCCTTGCAGCGCTTGCGGGGCAAAAGCGACAAAAGGCAGAGAAGTCCGTCATCCCGTCGTCCCCTCGTGTAGCTGCTCCCGGGCTTACCGAGGGAAAAGTGCAGTCAGCGAGTGGAAGCTACGAAGGCCGGGCACGGCGGCACAACCAGGGTAGTGGTGTAGCAAACACCGCGCTCGCCCGTCTTTGTCTCCCTCGTGCTGCCGATATTTACACATTGTACCAGGTGCAAAACAGCAACAACAGCAACAACCGTCGTTCACCACTAAGTGGAGGTGACGTCACCACGGTGCTTGCGCCATGGGTTGACTGACTGAGACGGCTGGGAGATGCACCAGCTGTGCTCGCCACTGTGCCAACTCTCCGTGTTTTATCCGCCCGGCGCTCCGCTCGTTGTTGTGAGTGTCGCTCCTCTGTCCTCCGTTGTTGTTGGAGGGCGACTGCCTCCAACTCCCCAACAGCGTCCTTCACGAACATCCTCAAAGTCCAATCAGCTCCACATTCTCCTGTACCATATCAGTCCATGTCTTCGCTAGCCCGTGCTGTGCCCATTTAACTCCATCTATCTGGCCGGCCAGAAGCTGCTTGGGCATGCGGCGACTGGGCATGTGGACTACTTGACCCAGCCAGCGCAGGCTCACTTGCCGGAGGAGCTCACCGATGGGACTTTGTCCAGATCTCTGAAGGATCTGTGAGCGCCTCACACAATCCAGCCTGGTTGAACGCAGGATGGTACCTAGGCAGGCCAGCCTGAATGTTTCAAACCGGCGCAGATGTTATTTTAGAGGGCTCCACGTTTCACAATCATAAAGAACGGAGTGCATGAACCGTGGCCGAGAAGACCCGTAGCTTTTGTATGGAGCGACAGGCCAGTTGTCTTCTACACAACGTTGCGCAGCTGTAAAAAAGATAATACCACTTGATTGATTCGGCTTGAGACTTCTGCTGCCAAACCTGAGCCGGTCATAATCCCAGGCACGGAAACGTCTCCAACTCTCTTCCCTACTGCCCTATCACCAGGTGTAATACGCACGTACACATAGACACAAGTCTCCCCGTTTAGCCTGAGCTAATTGTTGGAGCACGTGGATCGAATCCACGCCCTACTGCATACCAGAGGTAGTGGACGTCGTGTCTACCGTGGCGCCCCAAGTGCTCTTAGCCAGCACCTATGAAGGCCAGCACGGCATACGGGGTCTGGGTGACCAGAAACACGTCCGAACGCCTTTGTCTCCCTTGTGCTGGCAATGTTTACACAATCCGAGTTCGACAAACCCACACAACAACCGCCATTCGCCAATAATTGGCGGTGACGTAACCACGGTGCTGGTGCCAGGCTATGTGCACGTTAAGGCCACGTGAAGTGTCGAACGCTCGCTGGCAAGAGGTCACGGGATATACCCAGGTGCCATGGGTCAGATGACTGCCCGATGCACCACCTGTGCCCCCTACTGTGCCAACTTGCTTTGTTTTATCCGCCCGGCACTTCGCTCGTTGTTGTGAGCATCGCTCCTCGGCCCTCCGTTGTTGTTGGAGGGCGACAGCCTCCAACCACGACCACCACCATTCTGACATCCCACGCGGCCGCCAGCCATAGCAAACACATTCCTGCGGAGGGAGCTGGTAGGGACGTTGGGTTGCTCGGTCAATGGCCAGGGTCAATGGCGGCGTGGTGTATTCCGCAAATATGGCCGACTGTGAGGGCGGGCACAAGCCGGCGTGAGTAGGTTAAACGTTGAGTTTTATAAGGGCATAACGGGGTGACCAGCCCCTCCCCACCCAGCCCCACCCCTCCCACCCCCCATCCAGCCCCACCCTCCCCACCCAGCCCCTCCCCACCCTCCCCTCCCTACCCAGCCCCTCCCCACCCTCCCCACCCAGCCCCTCCCCACCCTCCCATCACCCAGCCCCACCCCTCCCATTTTTGGATGCACGACGGACGGACGGACACAATAATACCCTGTGGGCTGGTGTAACCAGGAGGTTCCTACCAGTATTATCTGTTGTTTGTAGGGGTCCAGCGTAGGGGGGGGGGGGGTAAGTCTCCTGCCTCTGCTAAGTGGGGGGACGGTACTGGGGGGGGGAGCTTGGTCAGGAAACGTCACGGACCCTGTTACGCTATTCACGCCGCGACTGTTTTCCACGGTGCCGAGGTAAACGAGGTAGAGGGGGAACAAAACCCCCAACTCCCACCCTCCCCTCCTCCCCTCCCGTCAACTCTCTCCCGGCGGATCTAGAAACATCTCCAACGGGGGAGGAGGGGGAGCTCTATGCCGCCCCCCATCTCGTGCACAACATCGCTGGCGCGTGCCACCTCGAGGCGGTGGCAGGCGCTCTGGCCGGGACTACAATCACAGCTACAGCAGCCGCTTTGACAACAGCCTCGCAACAACACAGCCACGATAGGAGGGCGGTGAGCCTCTTGGCTCAGCGGCAGCGCTGATCGGTTCGGATCAGGAGGGCCGGCGTACGCATGTATCTTGACTTAAAGCTTTCGTGACTGCAGGGATGAACATTATTTGGGTCTTTCGGTAAAAGAACCTAGATCGGTTCAAATAAAATGACAAAAAACTACAATGATCGCAACACAAGCGGTCGACCGCTTGTGTTGCAATCGAAACGTCGTCGTTTTTTGTTGTTTTCTTTGAACAGATCTACGTGTATGTTGAACTTCTTTCGCACCGTACGTAGCCAACCGTGCTAATCGGAGGTGCGGGGGAAGGACAAAAAACACGAAACACAGTGGGGAATATCCCCTACGTCGACTCCACCACCGCGGTGGCTAGGAGATGTTAACCACCTCGCCTGGTATGCAGCAGATCGTGTGTTTGATCCCGAACCTGACGCCTGCTGCTGTATATTTGGAGTTTGTATGTCACTCTCGCTCTCTCTTCCCGTAGCCGCGAAGGATTTTCTCCGCGTCCTCCGGTTTTCCCTCCACCTTTAGAATCAACGTCACGCGTTTCAGCAAATTTGGCTGCTATACGTTTCCACACGATAATCCCACTTCGTTGAGCTATCATTTGTGGCCACGTTGCTTCTGAAAAAGAGCTACACAGCTCGTTGGGCCTTAGCTGTTAAAATAAGAACATAGTTGTATTGCATCCCATCTGCTGTACCGTGTGGAGCACGCACCCTGAGGCTCATTGTGACTCTCCCGGAGAAGACAGTCGCACTGTTCAGAGGATCACAATCATTACCTGGTAAAACTAAAATAGTTAAATTTTAATAGTTTTAAATGAGCACCCGGCGCGGTGTGTAAACATCTGCATTGGGGAGACAAAGGCGGCCGCTGACGCCACGTGGCCCCCAGGCGTGTGAGCTACGCGGGGGCCCGTCGTGTTGCAGGAAGGTGGCGGCAGCGTTGGGTGTCGACCCCCGTCGGGGGGCGCCCCTCGCGATGAATGATTCACTCGGCCTCGGGCCAGGGGTCTCGATATCAAGACGAGCCCCCACGGGGGGGGGGGGGGGGTTACACATTCACGCGGGGGGTAGGGGGGTGGGGCGAGGGGGCCGTGTCCCCCATTAATAACTTCGCCGCTGTTTAAATGTCCAAAATGATGGTGGCCACTTCGTTGAGTTATACTTGGTGGTGGGCAGGTCGCTTTGGAACAGTAAGTTACTACCTCGGTGGGGTTTGCCTGATAGGGGTGGGTGGCCAGGACCACGCCCGATCGCCTCGTCTCCCAAGTCGCGATATTTTACACACCGCACCAGGTACTCATACGAGTCGGTCTATGGGAGGCCCAGGACCACACACACACACTGTCACACGAACAAAGATCCCCCATATAGCCTTTAGCAGACTATTGGGCTCAGTAAAACTATTTCTATTACTGTCTCATCATGTGAAATGTATACCATCATTCTAAATGTGGAGAGGAAAAACACGGATAAAAATCCACGCGACCACGGGGAGAACACGCAAACTCCAAATATACAGCAGCAGCAGGCGTCAGGGTCGGGATCGAGCCCACGACCTCCTCCAAACCCGTCGAGGGAGTTGACATCTCGCCCATCGTGGCGCCCAAAGTGCTCTTGGCGAACACCACAAGGGGGGTGGGTGGCCAAGACCACGCCCAACCGCCGTTGTCTCTCCATGTGTGATGTTCAAACACCAAACGAAGTACTCATTTGAGGCTCAATCGACCTAGGGGTGGCCCAGGACCGCTCCCAACACTAACAAAGACAAAGCCATACACACTGCACGCAGAACGTCGCCTGGGTCGGTAACTGAACTCAGGTGCTTCTCGCTGTGAGGCGCGCGTGCCACCGCCACTGCTGTCCAATGAATAAAAACCGGTTAAAAATGAATCGATTAATGATCAGCTCGCCGCGTCACGTGGCCTACTGCCGGGCGGAGTCGCCTGGGAATGAGTCCCAGGAATGAGTAACCCCCCTCCCCACCCTCCCCTCCCTCCTCCGCTGCTTCACGGTCAAGTTCACTCGCAATCTCCGGGAGCACGCTCCGGTTCGACCCCCGTCTGGGTGTGGTTGTTGTTTAACAGGTGCGGGGTCTCTCGTGACCTACGAGTCACAGTTGCATCATAGTTGAGTTGTAGTTGGGGGTGGTGGGGATCGAGCGTTGCCCCCTCGCGCAAGCCGTGGGATTCTCCAGATGCTCCGGTTTCCTCCTCCCACGTGAATAATTATAATAATAAACACAACTCATCATTAATTGGCTGAACGCATCTTACATATGAACACAAAATGCAGCGGCAGGCAGCACCCTCCTGGGATATGAATCATGAGACTCAGTGTGGCCCTCCGGGATAAATTAGATGTATTTTTTTTTACGTATAATGATTATTAAATGTTGGTGGCGAGATCGCGCGAATAAAAGTGTTCGCCGTAAATCTTGACACCGCCGTTGTGCACGTGCAGCGATCGATAGGCACGCTCGTTCGTGACGTGACACCTTTGTTCATTGACTGTGTTGGGTGGAGGAGGGTTTACGGCACAGACATCGATGACGAGACCCCGAGACTCGAACGAACGAACGAATCCTAGATC